ATAACCGTCATAAGGCTTCTCCACTGGGACTCACAGATAAGCCGTATGTTGATCCAAGATACGGATTGTTTAAACGGGTTGAGAAATTTAACCACAAGATGGAAACTGGCTCTGTTAAGTGCAGGAATAGTGAAATGCTGTGTTTCGCCTCCCATAATGGCTGGAAATCTGTGGCAGCAAAGGATAACATTTGTCTTACATTAAAGGACAGACTGGGTTTTGAAGCACAGCTCACAGCCCTCTGTCTCCCAGCTGATGGCATGGGCTGTGCTCCTCATACTGTGCCAGGAGGGCTCACGGCAGGTTTTGGTCTGCCTCCTGGGAAAGGAGAGGCTGTTGCATTTCTGTTCTGTCCTGAGTCTGGGGGTTGGCAGTTGGCTGCTTGAAGGTCTGACGGAGCCAGGCGTATGTGGTACGCCATACCCAAGGTGAAAGCTCTCAGAAGGGTCAGAGTGAGCAGAGGGAGCTCAGACTGCAAAATGCGCGGCATCGGGAAACCCGGACCTTTCTGGGACTGTTTAAGTTTGGGAATCAATACTTGCTCATCCAGTTTGCTCTAAGAGGGACCTGTGGGCCTTGCTTTCTCATCTGATGTCTCGTTGTCTTTCCAGGTGCCTCCAAGTAGATAGGAGAAGGCCTTATGCCCTCTCTCCCCTGAACACATACACTGGTCTGTGGCCACCATCATTCTTTCTCACTTGTATTCTCTCCCAAGAGCATTTACCCTGCTTGTCACTGCTCTGTCCCATGCCCAGCTCCTAGGAGGGGACTGGGCCTCCAGGTGATGTTGTGAGACCAGGCCTCTTCTCTGCTGCAGGGACTACTGGAGCTGCAGCATGTAGCTGCACTGCCTGCACAGTGTGCCAAACGAGGTGACCCTGTGAAACATGCAAGAGCAGTAACGCCTGGTCCCCAAATGGCGCTTACCTTAACATGAAGCAGAATCCTGTCTGACCACAATCACCCCAGCCCTCTGATGCCTGAGCGTTTGGGGATACCCACAGCACTTCGCTTGTCTCTGCTTCGCTTTTCTGCTGCAGCCTGAGCTGTTTGCAGAGGGTATATAAGAAACATGAGGACCACAGGAAGGTTGTTACCTACGCTATGCTTTCATCCCACGACCCATAGTGAATTTTTATGTTTTGTTAGTGCCTATCCGACACACAATACCTAATAGTTTATGTTTTGCAAGTGGAAAATCTTACTTTTCTAATATATGTAAGTAATAACTAAAACAGAAATCCCACTGATTTAAATAACATATTCAAGCATAGTTACTGATGGCACCTAATACAGCGATCAGCTGACATTTCTCTTTTTGGACCATATTTCTATTCTTTTAAACTTTACCTAACTTCAGCTATTTGTTCTGACAGTTCCAGTGTGACATTTCAAGAGATGACTGCTGTTTGCAAGTGGCTAGCTTGATGCTTAGGGTTCTTGTTTCAAGAGTGATGATCACTGAACACCCTTATCTTACTGAACACCCTTAAATGCATTCAGGATATTAAACTGTGGGCTCAGGTGCATGGCTGCTTCACAATGTTGTCCCCACAAATGTAGCCTAATTAACACCTTCTCACAGCCCTGAAACACTGAGAAAACAAATAACTACTTACATTTTTACAAAGCTGACTTGAAAATAAGAACTGGAAAGAAATGAGGATGTTCGTCACTCATCAGAATGGGCTTTGGTCACTGAGAAACACATAAATGCTGTGAATGCACATCCGACATGATAAAAAAATAACAGGTAGCTACTTGGTGGGGGGTTCTGGCAAAAAACTCTAAGTGACCTTGTAGTTAAAGCAACCTTAATTGAGAAATTTCCTAATCTCAGGATGCTTACCTAGACATCTTTAATAGTCCTTTCATACAGTGCTTTGTTATACACACAGCACACTACATTACACCTCTGGCATCCTTCTTTCAAGCCCAATTCTGGTCGGGAAATAGGGAGATTCATGTGAATTGATAAAACTTTCCAGGCAACAAAGAAATGATGCATCACACTTCTGTTTTGGCCAATGGATATAATTCAATATAAACAGAAGCCCCAGTTTTGGAAAATTTTAGAGAATCATAGTAACTACCCAGGAGATTTAGCTGCAGAAAAATAGCAGCCATTCATTTATTCACACTGAAATGACTCCCAGTAGAACGTCTGTGGCTATTGCTGCCCGTAATGCAAAAAGTAACAAACTTCTGGATGAGCTTAATCCCCTTTTCTTTGATGTTCAGACTTGTTCTGGATACTTCAGGAGTTTCATAAATTGTAGACTTCAGTGTATGCAATTCCAACCCCTTCCACCCCGCGTAGAAAGTGTTCACAGACCTGTAAATCATGCTTGAAATTTAAGATGCAATATCCTCTTTATAGAAAATCCTTCAAACATCTCCCCCCAAAACCACAACAACACTGCTTAGCATTATCTGTTTATTTAAGTTCAGTTAAAACAAACATACAATGTTTCATTGAAACTGTGTTGCACTCTGCCAACAGCTGTAGCTCCTCTGCTGGCCTCTAACAATACAGTGACTACTTACATATGTACAGGGATGTACTGTAGGATGCCTGAATCTGATGGCCTAACACGTCTGTTAGAGCCCAAGAGTTGTTAAATTGCAGCATTCAGGAAATCATAAACATCCATGGTAAATTTCAGAAGCAAAACATACGCAAACCTGAACTATGCTTTTTATGGACCCAAGTGACATTTGTGTTTATTGCAACATATACATTTGTAATAAATACAATCTCGGCGTTTGCTTACACCCTTTGGTGTAACACACTACTTCCGTTTTGGTAAGCATTACATTTTGTTGTGGAAGGACCTTTCCTTTGACAGTTGTTATACAGATGTACAACATGAGCAACTCATTGAAATGATGTAATTTTCAGTAATGAGAGAGAAATATATACATAAATCCCAAACCCCGAACCTACACTATATACATTATACTTACAGTATATACACACATACAATTTTATGTACATATAATATCATAAATATTGAAAAATAGGTTTAGGCTTAATGGATTAATGTTTTATAAATAACATATTACACTTATGACTGAAATATCATGGAAGACAGTAATGTCTAACTGAGGTGACAGAACAGTGGTTTAATACTGAAGCTGCTCTTTCAGGTCATTTGTTATGTAGGCAACTTTAGACAGACAGGTTTCCAAAAATAAACATAACTAAAAACAACAACTAACCAAAAACATACATTTGAAACCAACCCAGCCAAGTGGAACTCAACTGTTGCAGGTGAAGAGCCAGCCATCAAGTAATACAACGCTTAACACAAAATCCAGAAATTGCTACATTAAAAGAGTTAGATGACATACATGGTAACAGCATTATGAGGTGCCATCACAAAAATCTTTCTCCTCTCCAGGTGCAGAGAGGGACTGCGTAGTAACCTCTAATTTTGTTCTCTCCTATCGTTCTAAGAAGATTATTATTTTTTTATAAAGCTGGCAAGGGAAGTGCTTCATCCCTTATGTGCTACAAATTGCTCAAAGGTAGACATTTTAATCCTCTTCAGTTGTTCTGTATTTGCAGAGGAAGAAGAAGAGCTGCCAAAGTAGAGGCACGCACTCAGCACTGCTGTGTATCAGGTACCATGGGGTAGATACCACGGATGTAAAGTACCTGAGGCAGAGAAGTACCTAAGGAGCTTTAGTCAGTGCTGACTTCAGGATCGTTCCTCGCCAGTTGAGTACCACCAAACGAATGATACAAACACCACAAAAGAAATCTAACTTCTCATTACAGTTTACATTACAGACGTAGCAACCAGCACTTATAGCCATGCAGAAGTATCAGTACAAAATACCTGCAATTTTTTTTCGTGGATTTTAAATGGCTGGGCAGAGCTTGATGTTATCTGCCAAACAATGACTGTAATTTAGATTTGTTCCTGACCGATTCTACAAGAGCAAAAAAAGTCTCAGGCACTGTTTAATCAATAGATTACAGGGCCCTACTTGTTCCCTCTGAGAAACGTTGAGTGGAACATCGTAAATCAGACTTTTAAAACATGGTGTTAGATGAAGAAAACTGACCACATTGCCATGATTATTTCATTAATAATCCCTATCGAGGCTTTTGTACCTAATATTGTGTTTGAGAACCTCTTGTAAGCCAAGTACGCTGTTACATAAGTGTTATTTCTCTTCACCCTGGGATAAGAATGAAAGAGTAAACATGCACTAGAAACAAAACAGCTATCACAACCATACAGCATCTGTTTCATCAGCTAGCTAGGGTTCATAAAAAACTTACCTATTTCTGAAGCAAACAAGTATGAGATGACTATTCAGTCTATGAGGTTATCTGTAATACTACGATACACTATAAATTGGAAGAGGAATCCCATTGTGTGTGTGAAGAGAGTTTGTACCAAGCGTGAAACACTGGCGCAGTTATTTTGTGGATTTGACTCAGAAACAGAATAGTCAAGTAATTAAAAATCCAATAATGGATGAGTACTTTGAGAAATACTGTACAGCTTTTGAATATTATACAACCAGTAAACTACATTAGGACCTTTTTCTTTCCCTACTGAGTGTTTCAAGACAGGACAGAAAAAAAAACAACCAACAAACATTTTTACAACTGACAGTGGACCTTATTGATGAACAGATCTCCATGAAGGAGTCTTATATTAATGGCATAATCATATGCTCCATTGCCATTAAGTTTTTATCTACAACAGAAAAACAAACAAAAAAAAGAACAAAAAAAAGCAAAAAACCCCAAACCCTGTTTTACCCAATTGCACTATTGAGTACTTCAAGAATGGAAATGTCAATACCATCACTTTGAATTCCACATTAACTACATTTCTCAAGTGGATCCATTCTAAGGGGTACATACTTTTTAAAGATTGACAATTTGGGTTTCCACATTTTTTTCTTTTTTTTTTTTTTTGAAACAAAGGTAAACTGAAGTTAAAATTTCAGTATTGTAAAAATTAATTTTTAAGGGAAACATTTGCAATTTGAAGATTTTATTTGAATTGGTTCATCTTCTGTTTTGGTCATCAGAAGTATTTTTAACACAAAATTTCCACTAGTTAGGCCTCTGAAGAGAGGCAAACCAGATTCAATCTAGGACACCGATCACTTATTTTTATGCACATCTTTCTGTTTAGAAAAGAAGTTTCTTAAAGTCAAAATAGTGCTTTTGAGGTCCATAAGAATTTTTGGTACAAAAAATAATAGTGTTGTTCTCTCTCTCTCATTGGTTATTTAAACGCTTTGCTGTAAATTAAGAGTCATTTCTCACATCGAATGGTTCCATTAGGCACATTCAAGTAAAATAACAAAATATCCAAGTAACAATGATGAAAGCCAAACATGGCTTGATAAAAGTCTACACAGAGTTCTATCCATTCTCTGGAATGGAATAAAGTTGTCACTTCCTTCAGCCAGACACTCATGTGGTTTGATGTTAATATCCATTTCCATCATGCAGAATAGTTCCTTAAAGCCAGAGTTCAGGTATTCTACAATCAGAAGAACCATCAACAAAGAATCTGTATTTTAAAGGAAGGAAGCTGAATAGCTCATTTTCATTCTCAGTAGGTATCTGAGTGAACACTGGCATTTGAAGTGGAGTATTACACCAGGACAGTTAATGCCCATCAGAAGCATCAGTATGGATCCAGTCTAGAATAATCAGTGTCATACACCCAGTCATCACAAGTATACCACTTAGAAAGAATAATGCAGCCTGAAAAGAGAGAATATAAAGAAGCGGGATCAGTTTCTGCTACTGGATCTATGAAGTCATGCATATATACAGCTTGAATGCCATTGCTCATGGAGGAAGGAGCAACTAGTAAAAAAAGAAGACAAAATATCACAGAAAGCAATAAGAAGTTGGACATTTTTCTTGTAACTGAAATCCTTTTTCAAATAAAATATATATATTTTATAGCAGACCTGTCCTCAACTGCAGGAAATCAATGTAGCTCTGCTGATAGCAGGCTGCGCCACTCTGCACTGGATTGGCTCTGCATCAGTGAAGTCTAAGACCAGGCAGAGCACACAGATCAGTCAGAATGACTGAAACGACAGGAGCTAAGCTCCTGAAAGAAAATTTAAGGGAGAACTGCAAGGCTTTTTGTACAGAGCTTGTCAGTAATCTTTTGAATACAGAACAATCTCAATGTAGCACTGCTGTTGAGATGGGGAGAAAGAAAAGCCACTAAAGTGAACTGAGCCTCGTGATGGCAGGGTCCTCAGTTCTGAGTACTTACATAAGTTCCACACGTTAATTACAATAACATTAGATTTCTTTATCGATTAGCATCACCAGGATTTCAAAATCCTTCATTTATGAAGAAGGAAACTAATTTTTTTGCTCTACATTAGTAAGCAAGTGTAATCTTCCTATGTTTGTCTATACATACCCCAATCTTTTGCACCGACTTCATTGGCTCCTTCTTGACTAGTTTGATATAGAAGGCAGAAGGAAGAATAAAGATCAGCATAGCTGCTGCAGACGCACCTGTTAACAAAGCACAGACAAAAGTTTTGTGAACAGGTAAGCATCATTCACTTAGACCACCACTGCATTTTCCAAGATTTAATGGTCTACCTGAAGTGCTATGAAAATGCTTACCAATGAATCCAAAGATGTCTCGGATAGTAGGGACGAAGATAACCAGCACGTTGGTAAATGCCAGAAGAACGACTGTGATGGCACAGTGACGCCACCAACTGAACTCCTTCCCTGCCCACAGAAGCTGGGTGACGGAACTGCGGATCTTTCAAAGAGAAGAAAAACAAAACATGCTGATTTCTGTAAGCTGATAACCTAACAGTTCGAGTTCTTTCAGAATCAGGAAAGCAATATAATTGGATGACTTCACGTTAACTGCTTTGTAAATGCTGCCTATTTATTTTTATTAATGGCATAGAAATATTTCAAACTTATTAAAATAAACTTATGGGTTTTTTTTCAGTTAAGAGAAAAACTCCATACATCAAAAAATGGAAATTGCCACATCAGCAGATGAGATAAAAAATAATTGTATTAAGATTTAAAAAAAACTACTTACTGGGAAAATAACCACAGGCACAGTGAGAGTTACAGCCATAAGTACAGCAAGACGCACAATTAGGAGAAGAATGTCAGCACCCAGAAAAGCAGAGTAGGTATGAAGTAGTTCTGATTCAACTCTTCCTATAAAGAAAATAAGACTTTAGTTAGATGTAGTTGGCACGCTACCCAAGATAACTCTTTGCTCAAAATACTGTTACAGTCTGAGCAGTGCACATCAAAAGCCCCACAGTTCCTGAAAGCACATCTCTATTTTACTCAAGTATAACTTGGAGGCAATTAATCTGTTCTCATCCACTACCCTAGGCCTCCTTCCACTACTGATCTGTTTTTGGATATGCACTTTGAAAATATAAAAAAAATGAACATTACAAAACTTCAGTTTCTAAACACACACTGCAAGCATTTGTTTGCTCTAACTTGAAAGTACTACTGCGGTTCTGCAAAACATAATTCATTTAAAGGAAAGCAGGGATGGTAACACTCACCGTAAAACGTTAAGTAACCAAAGAGAGCAGCCAATAAATACATCAGGAACATGGCAAAAAAAGATACGTAGGACACGTTCATCATTCTTTTACGGCTTCGGCTGCAAGAAAATTAAATATTGTTAGCAATGAGAAAACACTGGTTTATACTATTTTCTTTGTGCAGTGAAATTAGGGGAACTTATCTAGTATTTACCTTTTCAGTTCTTCATAGATAGGAAGAATTGCAGGATGACAGACAAAAGAAAACGTTAGGATTGGGACAGCGTAGACAGTCTGAAAAACATAAATGTTTTTTTTAAGCATCTCAACAGACATTAGAAATCGAGTTCTAAAAAATTCATCAGTAAGTTCCCAGTCTGGAATTCGGGATTTCTTTCAGTTTTCCATGAAGACCAGCGATCCTTTGGATCTGGCACTTTGGCAAAAGTAAAACTGTTTCATGTTTCTGTTTTTTAGAATTCAGATTGAGGTACGAAATACTCTCACGTCTCACTGAAGTCCGTGCTGAACTGAACATATTTTCATTCAGAACGTCTTCTGCAACTCATGGGGCTGAGCCGTGATAGCCTGATCTTGGTTACTGTGTGCATTTCCTCCCCATGTCTGAAGATTCACCACTGTTATTAAGCTAATTTGAGAGTCAAGACTGTGCCTGAGACCTTAAAGTCTGTTTCAAATCATGGCATACATTTCCTAGCAACATGCTTCAACTACTCAATTAGTCCTCTTTATGTTCTGCCTTTTTGAAGTGCTTGACTAAACTAACAACGGAACCTGAGGAAACTCAAGAAATGCTCTAACCAAGAATGAGACCTGAGCATATGACATTCTTCTCAGTTAGACACCTCGAGCTCCTTTAATTTCTATGCATTTCTATGCATGGGAACACCTAGTCTACAGGAGGTAAACTGTGTCCAACTCTACCATAAGAGAAATTCTTTGTACGTATCAAATTTGGATAAGAAAAAAGGACCTGATCTAGAACTTATTTATATGGTCTCTTTTGGCTATTTTTAAATGCAGAATCTGATTCTGTCAGTTACCTGTGAATTGAAGATGAAATATTTTGGCTTGCATGCATCATCAACTGTTATATTTTCATCTGTGAAAGGTACCAGTGTTGCATTTATTAACGTTGCGTTTATGATGTCGCTGTCCATAGGACAAGGAATCTGAAACATCTTCCAAATTACCTGGGAATAAATGAATGCATTTATGTTACTTTCATTAATGCAGAATGTGAAGCCTCTCAGAAACTCTAATTTCACTTCAAAAATGTAGATGGAAGTCTACAGAATTATACTTACAACAATCAGAAAGAAGACCATGCAAAGTAAGGAAAAGCCGCTGGTATAGCCCAAATATCCTATGTTCAAAAAAAGATTAAAAAACAAAATCTGAGATACAGTATTCACGTTGTAACATCATTAAGGCAGGATATTTTCGGACTGCGATCTCTCTGGATTACCATTTTCCTTTACACTGAATAGAACAAGTTAACCACCAATTAACTTCCTAATCTCAACCCAGATCTGAAAGTTCTCAAAGACATGCAAGAAAAATGCAGCACTGAGTCTGTACTAATAAACTTCGTAACTTTAAAAACCTTATTTATTTTTTTTATTATATACTGACTCTAAGAATCATTCTAAAAAATACATTCCGTGACAAGTCAGCCTTCCCTTTTGTTTTTATTGTATCATTTAATTTGTAGGAAGTAATAACTTCAGAAAGTAATTCACATTAAGACTTCCAGTTATCAAGGTTCCACCACAGAATTCTTTAAACAGAAAGCATGTTATCTAAGTTATTCAGATACATTACTGGATTACAGACATTTTATGTAAGGCACCTTATATAAATATTTTACTGCTGCTTGGCAACCGAAATGAAAAAGGTGACTTCTATTTACACTGGAAATGCCCAAGACTAGCACTGTTTTCTTTGGAGACTGCCACAGGACAGTCAGTAACACTGTACTGCACAGCTGATCAGAACAGGTCAAACCTTGCAATTGCAACACAAAGTACTGCTAATTCTTGTTCTAAAGCTTTCCTATCTATAGTCCACAACCACATCCCTACCCTTCCAGATTCCCACCCCCATCCCTTCCCTCCTCCCCCCAGCTCCCCCCAGTCTGGGGACAGCTGTCATTTTACAGAGGACTCCAAAACTCACACATCCTATCAACCCATTTCCTCACACTATTTTCAGTACATTTTTAATCTGATTCTACTTTATTTACTGCTTACCTAAATTTTTCAGTAAAGACAGGGGAAGAATGAGGATGACAGACACCATCAGCACTAAATAGTCGCCATTAAGATACCATTGTCTGCAGGATAAAGACAGCATGTGTAAGTAAACAAAATACTTAAAAACTCACAAGATTTGCAGTTTAGTCTTCAATCTTATTTTTTCCTACCACACATGGTTATTTATAAAAATGCACTGTCTGGTATCATGAAGGATTAGCACTCGACTTACTCTATGGACCTAAAGCCCTACAGGCCTTCCTGTCTCACCCCAAACCTATATTGTGCCTTTCCTTTAGTGTCCTTTTTCTAAAATTAATATGCATCTGGAAGTCAGAAGACAAAAAAATAAACGATTGGGGGGAGAAAAAAAATTGGCTGGGATAAACCATGAAAAATAGTAATTTGCTTAAATGTTGATTCCTGACTCTCCAGATGTATTACAACACAACAGGGCCCCAGCAGGGTGATTATCCACTTTAATGACAATAAAGTTCTGCTGGGTGCCCTGCGGGAGTTAAAGAAAAACAGATGAGGGCTGGAATTAAGGCAGTAGCTCAAGCCCACTGGCTGGAAAGTACTGGAAGAACAGTGGGATTCTACTGGAGGCATGATTAGTCCCTTCTAGTAGGGAACACTGGTAAGAAAGAAACTCGGTAGATTTTTTTCCCTTCAGACCTTTTTTTATTTTTCCATTTATTCTGTACAAGGCAGCAGCTATTTTATGATGCAATATTTTAGAGTGTAGGAAGGTGACCATCTTCCTTGGAAAGATGGGAGAACAAAACTAGATATGTGTAAATGAAATGTAATTTCATGGAGCTAACAGGACAACTGATCTTCAGTAGTTTTAGCACAGCAGAGTAACTGCTTTCTTCACGTGACTGTACAGAAATACAGAAATATCTCATATTTTTCAAGTAATTCAAGTAACATTAAGCACTTATTCCCAAATTAACATTTTACTTTTTTTTTTTTTTTTTTTTTTTTTTTTTTTTTACAATTACTTGAAATACTGCTAGCGAATACATACAGGATATATTTCAAAATGAACTGTCTGCTATTCAGATAAACAATGAAAATTGTATTACTCCATTGGAAATTTGTGCATTCAAACATAATTTCTGAATTACAAGCCTACATGCTAGTTGAAATATGGAATACTTTTAACAGACTTGTTCTGGGTTCATGTAGCAAGTGCAGAAATAATTTGGTTCTTTTTACCCAGTTTTATCTGGGATAACTAAGCATAGACATCTATTTTAGGAAGTCCACGTATGTAGGACATGAATGTGGTGTGCTCTTCATTTACTTATTTAATGCAATCGTCTCGTGGTGAATTAAAAATAAATCAGAGCAGACTTCTGGCATTTGGCAGTCGAAAGAATGGGTGCTTTCATTGTGTGTGTACAACAAAAAGGTAACAGGGACTTTCAGATCAAGGACATAAAAGTTTTTCTGTTCTGAAGAACAGGACTGCTCAGCTTCAAAACTCAGCTGAGTAATAAAAAAAGACAATGCAAAATAAATTGTAAAAATGGAGCTAGTATTTGTAATATTGTATCAGAATTTCAGAACATTTTTTTCTACAGTGAGCGTTATTTTGGGACATTTAAACAGGTAAGTGCTTACATTTTATGCACCAGGCTGCCAGAGTGGAATCCATGCCAATGGTAGCCACCCAGACTCCCCTAAGCAATGCATGGAGAGAGTCAGTTAAACGGGGTCCACAATTGTTAGAGCACTGAGAAAAGACTTACTTTAAATCAGTGAACAGCCAGAAAGAGAAAACTGAGGATACAAATCTCAATTTCTGAATTTTGTCTGTCAGACACCGCTGACTCGTTCGTACAGCAGTAGCTGCATCCAGTGCAATTCACAGCCCTGGCCCTTCCCCCCGAACTCCAATTGATCTTGAATGCCCTTCTGGAGATGGGACAATTAAAAATACTTGTCTCCAAGCCCCCTTGTAAATATCACCAGTTCCAGGGGCTTGGAAAACAAGGCTTGAAGAATTCAGCCAAATGAGGGAAATGAACTGCCCCAGGAAAGAACTACCCTAACAATTAAATGAGGTAGGTGGCATTCTTCATCCGAGTACATTAAATAATAATAATAATTAAAAAAATTACTGTTAGCCTCATGACAATATCTATCAGCAAGCTGTATGAACTGTATGAACACCAAATGGCTTGAACCCCTTGGGGAACACAGGCAGAAAAATGCCTACCTTCTGAACTCAGGCTTAGGTGTAAGTTGGAGTCTTGAGCTGCTCAGCCCTCTCAAGACTGGGACACTTCAGGACAAGGCACAGAAGTACAACTCTGAAGAGTGAGATTTATAGCACTTAACTCTATCCATCTGAAGTCAGGTTTCTTGTTTTAGATAGCTGTTTTTACATATCCTTTCAATACAGTGATATATCACTCATTGGAGATGCCCAAAACAAGTGTCTAAATCAGGGACGCTAAACTGATCACTTCAGAGAATTGTCTCTCTTCACAGTTTATGTATATGCAGACCAGAGAATGATAAGCTCAAAATCTAACTTTCAGACTGGTAGATGCAGGTAAAACAAACTCCACCCAAGGCACCCCATCCCCTTTAAAAGCCAAGCAGAAAAGCCACAATGGAGTTAAGGTGTCTCCAGGACTAAACGGCATTAAGTTGATGACTTTTATTTGGGCACAGAAACTCCCTTAAGTTCAGCATTTAAACCCATGCCTTTTTTGAGAACGGCTCCTGAAATTCATTACATCACCTTACTCTTATAGTCAACCACAGTATTAACATGAAAAAAAAACAAAACAATCAATCCAAACTAGTTGGAGTGTAACTGGAAAGCAAACAAACAGAAAAACCCCAACACATAACCACATTTACCTTTCCTTATCAAGAGTGTATTTACATACATATCTTGTATGTACATATGTTAACACTTACCTGATTTTCTTTAGAGAACAATTTTTTGTAATATGATACAACACCTGTATTTCTCTACCCTTTTCCCAGGACAGGCTGGATCTAAATGAAGTGGAATGCTTAAGGGAAGGAGAAACTTACTGTATCTCTGTCTGATAAGAAGCTACCCTATGATGTATCGAACGTGGTCTCCAAATAAAAATATATGCAGTCTCCGTATTTGTTTCTCCTAATAGTTTCTCTGATGAGGAGTTCTAACACCTACCCTGTGTTCTCTTCGATGTTCATAAATGTCTTGATGACCAATGGTAACTCATATTTCACTATGAAGAGGTAGCTTGACATAGCTGTAGGTGAATAACATCATAGATCATTACAAATACAGAATATGTCACAAGATGCAAGAATCACATAACATGTTTCATAACCTCACTTGAACACAAGCAGTTAATGAACACATGTTGTGTGAAAAAAAAGTCTCCACAATAAGTAGGGAATAATTATTACTGACAACAAAGTCATTTTAAGATCTTGCCCTCACCTCCAATGTTCTGCATTGTAATTGATCCAGAAGCAGCAAGTTTTCCAGGCATACCAAATGCCTTCATTCCCAACTGTTCATATAATAAAGATCCTAAAAGAAAACCCATCAAAACAGATAATTGGAACGATGTTATTTTGAAAAAAAAAATATATAAAAAGAATAGTACAAACAAACACCATGCTTACAAAATAGAACTTTGCCATACCTCCTTCGTTGGCAGTCTTCAAAAGGAGATGCACTGAATACAAAGAAAGTATTGAAACAACTAGCAGGAGTATCCTGGAGGGGGAAAAACATAAATGAGACACAAATGATTTTCTGCAACCTTATTAAATAAAAGCAAACCAAACAATAACACTATACTAAATCACTATCTGAAAATAAATTATTATTCTAAGGCTGAGTTTTCAAAATGCTTTCAGCTAATGTCTAGTTTGAAAGGAGTTTATACTAAAATGCATTTTAGAGGAACCCATTTTAGAGAAATTCTAGAGGAAAATACAGAAAACAAGCATTGTTTAATAAGGTGGCAAAAGCACAGGCGACCATTAGGACAATGCAGTTGGAATTTTGTTACATTATTTATTTTGTTACATTATTTAAGTCAACAGGATGGTTTTTGTATCAGTGTAAGAAACTGTATTTCTCCTCTCCTCCTTCCCTTGTTCAACAGAAAGTCTTGAGTGCACCATCAGCTACAACCACAGTCAAAGCCAAGATTATCTCTCACTCATCAACAGATCAGCTTTTCAGCTTAAACTTTTTTCTTTTCAAATGAAACTGTTAAAGCTTTTAAGGACTGAAAATTAAGGTATGTTCAGAGCTGTGCACCTGGTCTTCAAAAGGAAACGCAGGTCTATTGCAATAAAAAAGTATTTACTCAAAAGTTAGATTTCGTATGAATTGCTTACATGGAATTGCTAGCGGCTTCTCTTCTCTGCAGCTTTCACAGGCAGCACATATTATTTCCAGAAACACAGTTTTGATACATCTAAAATTCAGGTCTGTGAACTGAACCACAGCAGGTGCACTTCCTGGAGTGGCACGCTAGGGGGGACTTCTTCACAGCTAAAGACGACTGTGGAAAACTACAATATATTCAAAAACGCCTTGGCCCTTCTTACACCGACTCAGGCATACTGCTTTCCAGTATACTTAATTAACAGCACATCTGCTGAAAAACACAAAGCTTCATTTAGAGTTCTCAGTGTCATCTGCCTGTCTCCTTCTGCAGCATTTTTAGTGTTAATGAAATTAGTAAACACTAGAAAGAACTGGAAACAAGAATATCTGAAAGATGAATTCACCCACGGAACACAGGAGACTTGTGTTAGTGTGCCAATTCTACCCCAATGCACACACACAAAAAAATAAACCTGTTTCTGAGAGGTATAGATTTAATTTAGGCATCAACTAGAAACAGTACAGTGAGATGCATTAAGGTTACATTTAATTACACTTAATGCAGGTTCTGGATCCTTTAGTGTCAACCTTGAATAGCTCTGTAGAGGAGTGTTGACAACATTAGTCAGCAAACTCGTCTAAAAGTTAACTCTGCTCCTGGCTTCAGGACTGCATCATTCATTTCCTTAGCACAGTGCTGACACCAGTGATTCCACACAGCCTTCTAACAATTTACTGTCATAATCAACTGCATCTGGATGTGAATCTGTAACCTAGTTAGTAAAAGATGCCTGCAATGCCCTCAACATCACTGGTGAAGTTCTGCTTTCCTGCATCTGAGCTATACCAGTTATGTCAAGTTTAATAGGTTAGTTTACTTTTGAATCAGTGTTACTGTAAAAAGATTTGAATGCACCACCTGGAAACAAAAGATAAGTAAATTATCTCATCACCTAATTGTTGGATTCACAGCTTTCAGCACTTTTTCAAATTTCAGAAAAAAAAAAAAAAAAGGACTCCCTGTCAGGTACACACCTACACAGATACCTAACCTTACATTTATTTCTCCCTTCATTTCTTTTCCATTTCTCCTCTGAGAAATTTTCTCATGTGCGTTACGCTGTTTATCTTGTGTGCTCTAAAAATTAAGAGCATGAAGCTGATGTGTCAATAGGTGAAGTATCTCTCTATTCTGAACACACAACTGTTTAGCCAGTTTAGTATTATCTAAGTCTCAGAATCCCCATTTGCACTCAGCTGCACTTAGTCACGTAATTTATGCATTGTGTGAGCCAAACTGCCTCCAATATATGGAAGATCTTTCTGAAGACCTTCCAAAGAGCTGTACAGAACTGCTTCCTCACACAATTTCCAATAGTGTCACCGCAGCCTTGTCCTATACCTGAAGGCTTCTGTCCATACACACAGAGTAACACAGATACACTGGTTATTTTACATCCCTCACAGAAACAGTGATTTTATAGGTGTGGACTCAATCAGTTCCCTGAATTGCATAAGAGTACAGCAGCAAAAAGGATTTCTTTGCTGATGCAAGTACACTACAGCGTTACAGTCATACAGTCAACGATGTCAGTGGAGGAAAAGCAGCATTAGTCCTGGGACAGACATACAAGAGTCAGAGAAAACAATCCTCTTTTATCTTATGCTTCTCTTCCAACTCACTACAGATTCTGTGCTTTTTGCATAACCATTACAAGAGCAGTTTCTGTGTCAGTTTCCCTTTGAATGACAGACTTCTCAAGGGAGGCCTGTCAACTCACAAAGAAGCTACAGAAAACATAGGAAACCTCGGTGTAAACTCTTTTTATGAGTGAAGAACTTGCAATTTATACATTTTTACAAACCCTTCTGAATTTATAACAATCCTTTCATTGAAAGCAATCCATAAATAGTGCAATACAATTCCATACCTGCAGCAATGACAGGTTATTTTGCAAAGGTGCAATTTTTACCTAAAATATCTATCCTTTATTAGTTACATAGCAGCAAGTTTGCTTCCTAAAAACAAAACAAAAAACAAACAAAAAAAAACAACTAAGGATACTTACACAAAAAGAGCAATTCCAGTGTTAGCCATGGCATAGGAAAGTCCCAGGATGCCACTGCCCACAATAGCATTGCTCAGATTAAATACTGACATCCCAAAGGAAGTGGTACCCGGATGCTGAGGAAAGGGAGACAGGTAATGATTAATGGAAAGTTATCACTATCTCACAATTAAAACAAACATCTGTTTGCCAGTAAAGCCATCTTCCTGGACTGCAGATATCACGACTGGGTACTTACATACTGAGTTTCGTATTTCTTCTTTCCAACGTTGGAGTCAAGTAAGAAATTCTGATTTTCCGGATCCATATCTGCATAGTGGCTGTAAAAGACATCGCATCGTCAGAGTCCGCTTCAGACAGACCCTCGCTGCCACTTCCCCCTTTGCATCTCTGCTCCAGAGGAAGATGACAACGCCGGGCCGAGGACCCCAGGGGAAAGCCGCCCGCGCCCCTCACCTCTTCATGGCGGCCGGCTTGGTGGGGTAGGGGTAGCTGAAGTCGTTGCTGTTGGAGCTGTAGCTACTGCTATCCTCGTCGGGAGAGATGTTGAACTTGCCCATCTCAGCGCTGCTCATGTCGCAGGGGCCGCTCTTTTGTCCTTGGCGGCGGGGCGGCCGCGCCTGCGGAGGTGGGAGGCGACGTCAGTGCCGCAGCGGGCAAGGCGGCCGTCACGTGGCCGGCGCGCGCGCGCCCGCCCGCCCGCCCGCCGCCGAGTGGAAAAGTACCAGGAGCGGGCGGGGGGCGCGCGGGGCGCGGGCACACAAAGGTGGCGGCCGCGGGGCCGGGGAGCCGCCGAGCCGCGGTCCGAGCCGCACCGATGGCCTGCGCCCCGCCTTTGAGGAGGCAACCCCCGGAGGAAGTTCTCCCCACGGCAGCCGCGCGGGGACTGATGCAACACCGCGGCTCGATGTCACGGCGGCCGCAGCCCCGTGTTTACCTCCCGCCCCGGCCGCCCCGGCGCCCCACACCCCAAGGCCGCATTTTTTAGAGAAAAACGCAGAGCGGGCACGGGACCGCGCCGCAGTACAGCAGCGCACGCCCGCTCCTTGGTTCCAACTGCTATCCTTCCTGGGATGCGGCAGTGTCCCCACGCGCCCCGCCTGGGCATCCCCGCGCGGGGCTCCGCACACAGCACGGCTCCGCGCCCCGCAGCCCCTCACCTCCTCCTAGGGCTGTGCGGCGGGTCTGTCCCGGAGTCCCGGCGAGACGGAGCGCTCCGCTCTGTGCTGTGCTTCTCGCAAGGATTAAAAAAATAAAATAAATCCTCAGCTACAGAGCGTCAGCGGAACGAGAGGCGAAGAGGACCCGAAATAAATAAAGGCGGGGTACACAGTCACTGGGAAAAGCCGTCGGCGCGGAGGGAACACAGGGGCAGCGTTCTCGTAGCGGAGAGGCGCACGGTGCCGGCTGCGGCGTCGCTCCCGGTCTGACGGCCCCTCGGGGCGCCGCCGCTCTTCAGGCAGGAATGCAGCGCGTCATCGCGAGGGGCGCGGCGCGCACCCCCCCCCCCTCCCGTCGACGCCGCCGCCCCCTCCCGCTCTGCCCGACTGACCCCCTTCCGTCGCACGGGCTGCGGGCGGGGCGCGGCGCCGGGAGCCCCGAGAGAGGAGGGGGCTGCGTCCCCCGCCCCGCGCTTGGCCAGCGGGGAGGGGGGGGTTACGAGCCGGAGCCCGCCCACCCATCACACCTCTAGCCCTTCCGCGGTGTTGTGAACGGGGGCTGCGTGCACGTGCGTGAGCCCGGACCCGAGGCTGGCACCGGGAGTCTCCTTAGGGAGACGAGAGGGAATAGCGGCCTCCTACTGGCGATGGAAAGTGGGGTGATAGGGAAATATGCCTTCTCCCCCGCGGGGCAGCGGCTTCGGGGACGGCGGGCACGTGGCGCTCCGCTCCCTCACACGCGCACTGCGGGCCTTGGCCGTCAGGCGGTTCTCGGGCCGCGGGCGGTGCGGCCCCTTGTCCTCTCTTTTTAAGGGCCGGGGTGTCGTTGGCGGTCGTGCTGCCCACGTTCGAGCATCTCTGCCGCCTACGTCGTGTCAGCCCCGCTCGGCGCTTCTCCCCCCGTCTAGGGCACGGCGGGCAGCGAGGCTCCCCTCGAGCGGAGCTTCACTCCTCCACACAGCCCCACCGGGCTCTATCGCTTTGGACCCCACCGGGGCTCCCGCGTTCTGCCAGGCTGGGGCACGGCCGAGCCACCCGACAGCGCGTCGCCCCGCTGACAGAGCGCCGGGCCCGCCGTGGCGGCGCGAAGCTGAGGCGGCACGACCATTAGAAGTACAGAACGTTCCAGAGCGCCTCGGCCCGGAGAACGGGGTAGGGGGAGACGCGGCGGCGAGGGGCGGAGCGGGGCCGAGCACGCGCAGGAGAAGCGAGGCTGAAAATTTTCCATCCCGCAGTTCTTCCCCCTCCCCATCCGGGCGTGACATCACCCCACCGCAAACGCTCACCCCCTCCTCCCCCCCCCCCCCGTTTTCCCTCCCCCTTCCCCCCAGGGGAGGCGGGCGGCAGCTCTGCTGTGCGGCGCCCCTCCTGCGGAAGCGCGGTGCCGCTGCAGCGCGTCCGCCGCTACCCTGGGCGAGGGGCGCTTTGCGGGGGGGCGCTGCTCCCGGCGCTTCCTCGGGAGGCGCCCGTGAGGCTGAACTCGCCCCCGCCTTCACTCCTGTCCGCCCCGGTGCCTCGGGGTCGGGTTTCCGCTGCTCCCGAGATGCGCGTGGCAATGCTGCGACGCGCCCGGAGCATCTGTGGCTCCTGCGGCTCCGACTGCGTTCCGGCGGTGCGCTGTGAGCGGGGCTGCTGTGGCTCGCGCCCCTGTGAATCGATAATGGGAATTTGGCAGTGCCGTTCTGCAGGGCCGAGCTGTTGTGCAGAACTGCACCGCAGAGGTCAGGCTGACCCGTTTGTTGCCGTTTCTGCTGGTTCCTCCGGACATCCCGTGTGTTGTGGGCAAGGTAACTTGGAGGTACCGATGGCAGCGTCCTGAAGGATGGCTTGGTGTGAATCTGATAAGCACGGGGAGCTCTTCACAGATGTGAAGCAGTTGCTGTGAGCAGCACAGCTGTACCGTTGGTTGTTTTTTCTTCAAGCCAAATCCTAATTTTATGTCTTGATAGATGAGTGTTGGATTATTTTTTCCAGAACTGTCCTCATATGAAACCAAAACAACATGATGAGATTTCTTTCCTCATTTATGAGGATAAAAACTGTCACAATACACTTAGAAAAATGGCACTTTCTGAATGTAATGGCCCCATTATTGGGAGGGTCAGTGTGTGGCACACGGAGTGCTCTTCGCACTGCTGTGTGATAGCGAGTCTGTAACATCTTTACCCATTTGGGGCTATTAGCTAACTGAAATGCTCCGCTTTTTCAAGCGGTTTTAAGTTATGCCTTGCTGATTGAATTATAATTTTCCTGACTGTAATTACCAAGAATGTACTTGGCAAAACGTACATACAACGTGTTTCATCCAATTTTGAAACACATTTTGCAATCAGAATAATAAAAGTTAATATTCATCAGTTCCTCCCACCATAGTTTAAGCAATTCATTTGTTTTGATTGGGACATTGCTTTTCTTTCTCCCCTCACCAATGTTATTCTTCCCTTTCAGCCCCTTTGCCTTTTATCTGTCCGTATTCCCTCGTCTCTGTACCTTCCTTTTCTCCTGCTTCTTAATTTTTTTGTTCATTTGTCTGTATCCACTTATTACAGACTCCCTTATAAACTTTGAGCCCTTAAGATAGCTAAGAAGGAACTCTTTGCACAACACATTTCTGTATTTACTTGGGTGCAGAATTATGGGTTGTTGGACTCCCCGCACTCTCATAATCATTTTGGGGTGAGTCTTTGCACTTTCAAAACAAAGCAAAACCAGATCAACAAAAACAAGATACAGAATTGCAAAGGTGTTGTAAGAGAAGCTGTGATTTGTGATTGTTAGGTGCTGAAGAAACTGGGTTAGCTTCAGTTATGTAGGTAGAAATGGAGGTTCCAGTATGTTACTCAGGAGTGCCATGGGTTCTTTTGTAGCTGGAGCAGTGCATGCTGTGCACTTCCTTATTTCGGTTTGCAGCTGTGTCTCCCCTGTAAGTTCAGCTCGTGCTCTAATGCACCCTAATTTCTTAGCCTGCGAACGTTTTTTTCTTTTTTTAAGTTGGGTTGTTTGTTTTTATGTGTAGAAAAAGAAGTAGCCTGCAAATGTGAATTTTCTTTGGTCGTGTTCTGGCCTTTATAGCATGGGAGGTTCTTGTTTTGTACTGTTTCTTCCTACATATATAAACAAACCTTGCAGAGTACTTCAAACTACCTGTAGCACATGCCAGTGGAGTAATTTATGTTTATGGTATGCATCAAAATGTTATGTCTATGGTAATGTAAAAGTCAAGCCCATCCACGTGGTTTTTAGGTGATACTTCCTACACTGCCCAAAGGATATTAAATAAAATATGTAATATATCAAAGCAATTTGCACTTGCAGCTACATAATGTTCATTTTGCCTCCATCTCCTGTGAATAACACATTTCTTATGCCGTGTTCTGTATCTGGTGAAATCCTGGAGGCTGCGGAAGGATCACAGTGTGGACAGTGGCAGAGGCCTGAGTGCTAGATTGTGCCCTGATATGGCACTGCACAGTGGCCTCCCCACAGGCACGGTCACCACAAGGAAGCTGGAGCTGTGAGCAAGAGGGGAGAACACAGGATTCGCAGTTTTGCTGTGTAGACTCAGTGGTCCACAAAGATGCAGGTGGGGCTGAAGATTCCAGTTTCCTGTCAACTAGTTTGGTTCATTCTTACCTCACACTGACTGCCTGTGGCATGCAATTAATGAAATTATAGGTTCTGATTGTATGCTTTCTCAAACAAAACTTCCACTGAAGCCAAGAGGAATTACTAGTGTGTAAGGAATGCAGTATTGCATATCCTGCCTCTTGGGCTTTGTGATGGTGAGTTGGAGCTACATATTAAACTTGGTTTAAGCCCTAATTTTTTCACTCTGTATTTATCCTAGCCTAGTTTCAGTTTTGCAATATGAAAACAACAAAAACAGTACATTAAGAACATAAACAGCAGCTTTTTTTTTTTTAAAGTACATTTAGTATAATTATGGCTTGGATTTAAACAAAAAATAGGGAGAGATTCTGAATCTGAGTTTTAAAGCCATCTGATTATGCTTCTACACTGCAGTAAATTCCAAACAGTGGGTGCTCTATATGATGATGTGTACTGCTACTCACCCATAAGAAATTGTCAGCCTTAAATGGACATTGCCAACTGCTACAAAAACAGTTTTTACTTTATGTTTTTAGCTCTGTAACATTTTTAGGGGGGTTAAAAATAGCCTTTCTTCATCAATCCTGACTCATCTTTTCCACTCAGCAAACACTGATTTTTTTTTTTTCCTGCGTAAAATTAACATGAATTTTAAAATGTATCTTCTTTTCCTCTCTCTCTCTCTCTTTTCAGTATGAATCTTGAAATATTTTGGGAATGGTATTTGCTAATTAACTGAAACTATCATTTTCTATAAGCCATCCCACATATTTTTGTTTAGACCCTTATGGGAATAAAAGCTACTATTTTTGTTCTTCTACTGTTTGCTGGTGGCAGAGAGTATGACTTAAAGACATACATTTAGATTCCCAAAGATGTTTTCACCATAATTACAGCAGTCTGTACATCAGTCTCACTTACTGTGTCAGCAGATCTTTGAGCATGTTATCAACTAAATCATGCTTCAGATCTTGGAAAAGTCACTTGCATTTTTGTGGATCCTTTAAAAATAGTGTAAGTTTAAGAAATTTAAGAAACAGAGTTCTCCAGGCAAGGCCTTATGCAAGAGCTGTGTTCAGCAGGGAAGAAAACCACATTAGCTGTGCTTCACTCATTAATGGAAGTGTGAATGTACTGATGGGTCACAAAAAAGCAAGCTAAGGCAGATCAGTAAGTGGTGCACTCTGATGGAACCCCAGAGAACCAGCAAGATCAGCCCCCCCATTTAGTATTTCTTGAAAAACAAAATAAATTGAATCTCCATTCTATAAATACATGTGTGGATGTATATGTAATCTTTTTTGTAAATTATTTATTATTTTTAGGAAAATCGTTGGCATTCCTAGATGTTTTGAGGATTGGATCCTCAAAACAATTGTGGGCAACAGTTGTTATTATCTACTGAACTTACAGTTCTACTTTTCAATTACATCTGCTCAAAGTATGGCTTTTAACAGTACCACATAAGGTCTGTCAAATCTAATACTTTATCCTCAGCAGTGGGCAATAGAAGATTCTTTGTGGAGAACGCAGGATGAAGCATAAAAGTAGAGCCTTGCAGTTTATTTTTTAGCAGTATTTAAGGTTTTTGATACACATTTGCATGCACTCTGCAGATGAATGTTGAACTCATGTGTAGTCTGGTGTTTAGCATAAGCAGT